TATATAGATTATTGCTATTGTAAAACAAGTTCTTAAACTTATTTTTCTTAAAATATAGAACAGTAACTAAAGATGTAAAGCAAACAATTCTCTTCTAGTTACTCTGTTGCTGTACCTTTAAAAAATTTTCACATATTTGAATAACTAAAAAATCATAAATTACTACATTAATACCATATAATTTCACTATAACTTATCAAGCTTAGTAACTAAGATGTATTTTAGTCTAAAAAAATATGAAATTTTGAGCAGACTAAAGACAACCTATCATGTTGAAATATTGGTTCAAAAGAAAGAAATGGAACCAAGCCCCTTAAAATGGCTGAGAAAGTCATCAGGGGAACATTCTGAGCTTCCAATTGGTTATTCAAGTCATATATAGAAGTGTATATAAGGGAGCATTTCCAAAAATGGAAAGAGGTGGGTGGGGTGCCACTGTGTTTATTACATGAGCAATATCTTAACAAATTTAAAAGATAAGAGGCTCTTGTTATATATTCTAGCTTGTCAATATCAGCAGTTTGAGTTTCTAATTCATATGAAACTACAGACTTAATATTTTGACTTCACAAACATCTAATATGAACCAGTGCTGCATTCAACATACCACGGGACATATAGATATATAAAACTTATGTTTATCAGAGTTTTTTAACATTTACTTTTAAATTAGGAAACTGAGTAACATATAGTACTAAACTTTGATTTATAGTCTACAGTTTGATACCAAAGTTATTAACATAAATTCATGAAATAGCAGTTCAATAAAATTTTGAACCCATCTCGAAAGGGTTAACGAATCTGATAGTAATAATAATGAACCACAATAAAATAACCGTACTATAACTTTTCAACATTACAACTTGTGCTCAATTAACTTCTTGCAGAGAAATCTTGGTTTTAAAATCAAGTCCCCATTTGTGTTCAAAATTTTGGTGAAAATTCATTGCATTTTACAAAGTAATTTACCTATAACAAATATATTTACACTGCTAAACTAGTCAATATACACTGGTAAAATGTCCTAAAGTCATGTTCACCTTGGTCTAAGTTTTAAGTGTAAGGTCAGAAGGTGTGCTGTTTACATAAAATGCATAGGTTTTATATGCAGGCGTAATGAGAGTTCTTATGGACATTAAAGCAGTCAGAAAGATTGGATTCTGATACTTGTTGATAAACTATCAAAAGATAAAAAAAAAAATGGCAAAGCAGAAGGAATACTAAGAAAATGATAGTTTGTTCTTCCCTTTTTAACCATTTTCAATGTCTTAAATTATTCACCTTGTACAATTTCTATGCATGTCACCACTGACTAAACCATACAGAAGATACTTGTCCAGGCACCAAATCCGATATACCATGGACTTGTTTCCAAACAGGCTATTTTGATTTAACATAAAATAATGTTTTGGGACAACATGGGACCTATTGGTCCATCTCTGCTGTTCCATCCTCGAAAGTAAATTAAAATAATTAAAAAAAAATCAATCTTAAAGCCAGTTCTTATCATTTATATACTTATCAAGCTTTTTCTTAAACTTACTTAAATTTACTGCCTCTACAACATATGAAGGCAACCCATTCAAAAGGCCAACCACACTGTTAGAAAAATAAAACTGTCTTAATTGAAGGTGACTCCTACTTTACCAAAATTTATATTTGTGTATCCTAGTCCTACTATTCTCACTGTTAAACATGAATAAAGATGATGCATCAACACTATCAATTCCCTTCACAATCTTAAACACCTCAATCAGATCCCCCTTAACTCTTGTTTTCAAAAGAAAACAATTTCAGAGATTTCAGCCTCTCCTCCTATGACAACCCCTCCATCCAAGGGACCATTCTAATAACCCTTCTCTGAACCCTTTCCAATAATTTAATGTCTTTCCTAAAGTAAGGAGCCCAAGACTGAACACAATATTCCTAATGTGGCCTATCCAGTGACCTGTACAATGAAATTATAACCTCTTTAGACTTGTATTCAATATTTCTATAGATACAACCTAAAATCCTATTTGCCCTACCACTATCAACAGCATGCTGCTTGGATGGCTTAAGAGTCTGATCAACTATTACACCAAGATCCCTTTCCTTCATAACACTATTAAGGTTATTCCCATTAAAATTATACTGATAATTCAAATTATGATAACCCACATGCATTATCTTGCATTTATTGCAATTAAAACTCATCTGATATTTATTTGCCCAACTCATTAAATGATCTAAATCATTTTGTAAATCAGCAGCATCTTCACAGCTAGCAACACCAAGATCTTAATATCATCTGCAACTTAAGTAATTTATTGACTATTCCTTCATCTATGTCATTGATGTAAATAAAAAAACAACAAAGATCTTAAGACTGAGCCCTGAGGTAGCCCACTTGTGACATTAATCCAGTCTGACTGAACTCCATTTGTAACAACCCTCTGCTTTCTTCCATCCAGCCACTCTTCAATCAAATTTGCCGATTTATCTTCCACACCTATAGAGCTAATTTTTTTTTACAAGCCTTTTATGTGGCACCTTGTCAAATATTTTCTGAAAATCCAGATTCACCAAATCTACACCCTTACCCTAATCTACGTAAGCAGTAACCTATTCAAAGAATGTTAAAAGTTTTGTAAGGCAAGATTTTCCCTTTGTGAAACCATGTTGACTTTCTAGTAAAATCCTAAACTTTGTTAACTGTCTTTGTAAAACATCTTTCAACAGACTTTCCAAAACTTTTCCGACAACTAATGTAAGACTAATGGGTCTATAATTACTGGAACAATTTTTATCACCTCTCTTGAAAAGGAGTGACATTAGCTAACTTCCAATCCTCTGGTACCTGCCCACTATTCAAGGACTGACAAACAATAATAGTAAGTTGCTCACATATCCAATCTTTAACCTCCTTCAAAACCCTTGGGGGGGGGGGGATGTTATCTGGCCCAGGAGCCTCATTGTTTAAACTTTCCAATATTTTCTCGACCACCAACTTGGATTAAATAAACAAGTTTACTGGGTAAATAGATGTGTTAGCTGTAGTTCCTAAATACAAAACCAAAGATTAGATAAAGGAAATGTTCCCTATGGAATCACCTGAACTTCTTGACCACCAACTGCTAAAGGAATGCCAGCAGAACCAAGTAAGGGACAGGATTCTTCAACAGGGCTGACTTTAAATCTTGACACAGATTGAACATCCTAGAAGAGATAAACACTTACTAAGAAACATGAATGAAGTAAATTTTAACTAAATTAATTGCTGCTGAAGAAATTATGAAGTATAACTATTTTTGATAACATCATCTTAAATTAATAGTACATTTATGCCCGAATTATAAAACTCAGCATAGTGTAGTAGCATATTTATATTCTATGATTTAAAATACATGAAGAACAAAGTTGCATATTTAGCATTTTCAATGTATATTCTGTAACTTGCAGTCCTTCAAAATAAACCTGCTAACTATTTGCCACTGAAAGCATCTAAAACTAGTCTGATAAACACATGCATACATCATCTTAAAACATGAACAATTGTCAACTGCTAGTAAGAAACTGATATCAAACATTAAAGTTAAACTTGCAAAAACTAGCATTTCATCATGACTTTGAAAGAAGAGTATAAAATTAAGTTTAAGGTCAGCTTCTTATTTTTTTAATTTAACAAAAATTCTGAATTGTAAATAATATAAATACTGTAAAATATTTTTTATAAAACTATGAAAAGATAATCTGTTAAAATATATATTAAAATTTAAAAAATAGTTTCATAATTTGTATACTGAATACAACATACATGTCACACTGTTGAAATATTGCTCAAGCCTTAGAAATACCATGAAATTATTTTAAAATTTATGAAAAAATCAAAACTTCAGTTATTTAACTTGCTGTGGTGAGAGTAAATTTTCAGTTAGGTATATTTATAGTTTAGTAATCTAGACTAGAAGTCCCAAATGCATAGTTTGTAGTGGGGATATGTTGCCCACAAGGATGCTTCAAGTGGCTCTCAATGAACGAGTGCAATATACATTGTGCCAAACTATTGCTGTAATTATAAGCATACAAGTGTGTCACGCATGAGTGGTTCTGAAATTTAGTCATGTATGTTAGTGAAGTGAGTCAACAAAGTGTCTCAATTTTTTCCCCCGTTTTCACCTTAAGCGACTTGTAGTACATAACAGATGCCTAGACTTAAATTACCTCATTCGAAAATTTATAAATACTTTTTTTGCATGAGTAACTTACTTGTAATAATTCAGTATATGGTCAAACACTCTCAAGTAAGTAACCAAGGTCAATAACTGAACTAAAAACTTAAGTACAATGACAGAGAACAAGTGAAAAATAAAGTGCCTTTACTTTACATACACAAAACTTCTAGACCAAAACTATTTTTTTTTTTTT